AAAAAAAAAGTACAAACATCTCTATGTACAGATCCTTTCAACCAAATTCGTCCATTTAGTCCGACAGTGATCTCAAATTTATAATCTTTTCCCAAAAGTTTCAATAACTGTGAATGAGTTGATAGGAGTCTTCGTGCCAGGTTGCAAGAGACCTGAAACAAACTATAGCAATTGGGTTGTGGTTTTTTTCTTTGAAAATCCTATCGCTCTGAGACATGCTCGGCAGTAGTTGAGATTACATCTTTTTCATTCGGGCAAAGAATAGCAACTGTTAGTGAATTATTACAAATCAAAAAACTTGTTTGTCTATTATTAGGAAAAACAAAAACACTTCCAAAACAATGACAAAAAAGGGACGGAAAGTCTTATTGTTCGAGCGATCGGTGACGATGATGTGAGACGGTATACTTCACATGAAAGAAGGATCTCAATAACTCTTAATGTTACTGAGAGAAGTTGTCAACTGAAAGCATTGCTTTTCTCTTAACTAATCTCATCACCTTGGAGGCTATATCCAAAAAATATCAATAACGGTGTGACGAACATGAATGGGTAAAAATGAAGAATAAGAAGTTTGATGTAGGGAGAGGAGACAAGAGAAATCTATCTCATTTGAATGCTGTGATGCGGAATAGAGCAAAAATGAAGAAGGAAGCGCAAAAGTCGGCTTGATCTAGAAAGTATAAGTTTTAAAAATAGTAAGACAGGGAGTGGTTACAAGGGTGTATGCATCTGTAATATCAGTTTATCAATTTTGTCGTGAACTGTGTCTTCAATCGCTTCCCAAATGTTTAAAAAAATGCCGAATTTTAGAACTTTTTCCACACTTTCTGAGTGGACTATATAGATTCTTAACAAAAGGTAAACCGAAGACTGCAACCTAGCGCTTACCTTGAATAGGAAACCGCCCGATAAAAGTCCCATCCCTCTAGACCTCGAAACTGCGTCGACGCAAGTTAGCTCGATGTCTGCATGAGCAAATTCGTCCATCACCTGAAATGAAAAACGGAGAAATAAAAAGTTGAATACAGAAACCTCAAAGCTTGTGATTTCAGAAAAAAAAATAAAAGCAACTCACCTGTGCGTATATAACATCACCAATTTTGAGATCGGGTCGATTACGCTTGGTTGCTCCTTCAAAAGCTAAAAATGATATCTGAAATAGTTACCTCTGTTTAATGTTGTTGAGGGGAATAATAGCAAAAATTTGATCTAGTATTGAGGGAAGTCCATTACATAACGATAGTTCACATAATTTTTTAAAAAACGAAAATGAAAAACATATCTTTCAGGAAGAACGTGGAAATCCGTGTGCAAATACAAGAAGTTAACATATGATTCTGTACACAGCTTGTTGTTTCATCAAATCTGACGAGTGAGACAGAAGATGCCCACATTCGAACGGTAGAACGATGACAAAATACATACGCAGTACTGACTTCCGCATCTCGTATACCTGGTTAAGTTAGTTCACGGCACAGCCTCAGCTGCCCGTATTCGCAGTAGCAAAGAGGAAGTTTGATTGTGCAATTGTTGTTAAAAATAGATTTCTTGACGAAAAAAGAGTAGCCATAAGTAGGTCGTAATTCCATCCGTTTTCCAGGATTTGAGCAGGTTGCGACGTAGAAGGAAATATCCAATCCAAAGATAACGGCAGCAAGAGCTTAGCGCAATTAACGCTTCCACCCGAGAATCTACAACNAAAAAAAAAACAAGATTAGCAGTGAGAATCCATCAAAAACTATTCCCTTCGTATGAGCCGTAATCATCTATTGCAGGAGTATGCGAAAGCCTTTTTTCATAACATGACTGAGAGTTTGCATGAGCGATATGAACACATTCTATAGCGTGCGGGGGTGCCCACTTTAAACACTTACATCTTACATACTATGTTCAATCAATACGCCAATAGTGTGTGTATGCAAAATTTATGATTTTTTTTGAAGATTGATAACTAGTAAAGATAAAAATTCAACGTGCTCATTTTTAATAGTGTAGATTCTCCGATACTCAAACTAATAAAAACTATGCAAACTAATCCAAAGTGAATAGCGTACCACCGCATTTTCAGGTGTTCCAATTTCGAGTTTGTAGTAGTCGCCAGCAGAACCAGTTACAATTCCAATTACGCGATCTCCTTTCTCGGCAACATATCTAATGATTACTACCATTTTCATCAACGGTGCTTTATGACTGCAACTATCATTGCCAAGTTCACCTTTTGGAATGAACACTTAGCCAGCACTTCTCCCCTTCTTGTTTGAAAATTCCCGGTTGTCGAGCAACCAAAGCTTCAGTATCGGGATCACGAGCAATACCATAACTGCAACAACCCAATAGCATAATTATAGGAAACTATATACAATAGTTGCCTGCATCTCACAAAAAAAANAAAAAAAATTTGGACGACAGCTCTGGCAACTTGATTAACTCATTTTAAATGATTGAAAACTAAATACATGGCACAGAGGAACCCACCCGATAATTTTGGTATTTTCTTTGGGTATACGCCCAGTGAGATCTTCTCCTGGTAAGCAGATTAAAGACATGGCAGCTCCATGCAACAGGTCCGAACTGCAACGCTCAAGCCGTGCTTGATGCGAAATTACAACGCTTTCTTCGTTGTTTCCACCGCAATTGCACTATTTGACGTTTTTATGACGTCTCAAGTCCTTTGGCAGCGACAGTCATAAAAGGTACTTAAAGATGCGGGAAGCTTTTCGGTTGTTTGGGTATTGTGTTTGCTCTCGTTGGAACTCTACAGACACCCTGATGGATATGCTCTTCCAAGATGTACCTGTGGGACTGAACCAGTGCTCAAGTCTGGTGTAAAGCTCATATTCTAGGAGACTAAGATGAACCTAATGAATTAGCCTTGGAGGAAGGGGGAGGAAGTCTCGAACGTTATGGTCTATGTCCAAGTCAGTGAGCGCATTTATACTAGGGGCCGGTACCATCTCATGGTGCTGGTACCGGCACCCAGTATGAGTGCGACCAGTGGGTTTTTATGCTCTTAAAGGCATGTTCTGCTATCAATCCAGGGAACAACATTCCGATGAGTAAGGTAGACTATTGGACTACATCCTGGCTTGAATAGATCTTCTCTACGAAATGTTCCTGCATCAGAATGAAGTCTTTTCCCAGTGTATCACCCCTTGGGACAAGCCACGTGTATCACTTCCATTCAAGTCGCAGTGGTGTTTGGATTCATTTGCTGATTATACCAAATGAGCAAGTTGTGAGGCCAGCAAATCTACAAGCTAGTGCTCTTTTGGTAGCAGTTAATCAGAGGAGTGTAGGAGTCGCTATATCGGGTATCGGGTCGGAATTCGATCCCCGGATCATGCGTGCGATGGTGTGCCACTTGCCATTATACCAACTCCACCCCTAACTAGAAATGGAAACAGCCGAACTAACGCAACTAATATTTTATCAGAATGGAAAAGAGAGTTGCTTTGAGTAACGGAATGCTGCCTGGAAATTTTGCTTTCCAAATTCTAGGTGCTACCGCTGCTGGTTGTGTTGACGAGACAGGCTCTATTGCTCCTTCTCGTAGTTGAAGTTTACTCAGGCAACTGAGGGAAATACGCAATGATTTCTAGAGAAAGGAAAAATTTATAATTATATTGTTCTCGAGTGGGGCGGAAATGGTGTAGTGGCAAGTTGCGCGTCAACATCCACGCTTGGCCACGGGTTCGGATCCCGGATCGATAGTCGCCTAAACCAAGCCTCTCATCCCTCTGAGATCGCTTAACTGAACCAGAATCGTCTGGGAGGACGAAAGCACTTTTTTGTACATCGGCAAGCCACCGCATTGTACAGGAAATGCGGTGCCGATGTATAAAAAAGTGCTTTCGTCCTGTCATTGTAGGAGTCAGAGGGAAGTCACTGTATAGAGCACGTACGCATTCAACACGATTCTAAATAAAAGTCGAATGCGGGGCGATTCCCTGCGAAGGGATTGATTATTGCTCAGGACTTCATCCCTTATCCTTTATTGTTTGTTAATGCTGCCGGCGCTTATTGGTTAGAGCTACAACATCCATACTGAACTTCTTGAAGCAATCATTGATAGTTCCTCAAGACAGAAAATGGAAAAATTCTGAAAGCTGATATCGAACCCTTTTTCCAAGTAACAGCAATCAATGGGTGTTATATCTGAAATCATCCGCAGCCCATGTACCACACCCTGACTTCATGAGAGTGCTTGATTGAGTATGAACTTACTATTACGGAGGCCAGAAACCGGCCTAAACCGGAACATGCGTCTCTTAGGATGGCTAGGTCGAAAAGCCTTTCTCGATTTTTGAAATTCTGACCTTCATCTGTTTCTAAACATCTCGATAACTGCCACGTCCGACAGAAGAATGGTCCCCTTCCCCGTTTTTCCCCTTCAACCTTCGGATGCATCATTCTTCACAGTAGACAAGTCCTCCCACAGTTTGAACTGCCAAGTTAACTATAGTTCTACTTCATCTTTGATAAGAATGTCAATCGACAACAACAACAGGAATCATATTTTCTAA